GTTAGGGCTTCCTCTGCTGCCCCCTGGAGGACAGGCTCCCCCTTCGGGTCTGGTTAGGGTTAGGGCTTCCTCTGCTGCCCCCTGGAGGACAGGCTCCCCCTTCGGGTCTGGTTAGGGTTAGGGCTTCCTCTGCTGCCCCCTGGAGGACAGGCTCCCCCTTCGGGTCTGGTTAGGGTTAGGGCTTCCTCTGCTGCCCCCTGGAGGACGGGCTCCCCCTTTGAGTCTGGTTCCCCCCAAGGTTTCTTCCTTCTAGGGAGCTTTTCCTTGCCACTGTCACCTCTGTCTTGCTCACTGGGGGCTTTGGGTAGGACAGTGTGAAGCACTTTGAGACGATGAAATGTGCAAATGTGCTACCGGAGTAAGATGAGACAAAGAAAAGCCCCTACATGTAAGTTATGATTGTTCTCCAAGCTGGTTGATGTGTTCTACAAGAGCCTAGTGCTGGAAGATGGATCTGGACTGAGCTGGACCTGCTGGTTCTGGGTCAGGTCCCGGGAGCAGCCCTGAGGACACCCCGAGTCGTACAAAATGGTAAAACGTGGTGTAAGGACATGATTGTGCCGTGTTGTGACTCAGCAGACCACGTGTGACAAGCGATCACGCAGAAGGCAGGTGTGCAGGTCAGAGGGGCGCGTGTAGCCAGGCAGCGGTACCAGTGGAGCCTGTCCCCCCCCCCATCGCTCAGCAGGCAGGGGTCGGGTCGGGCGATGTGTGTCACGGCTCAGTGAGTACTGCTGTCCCTCTTGCTACCAGAGTGCATGTAGCAGCGTGTTCATTCAAATCCGCTCGCAGCTCGACCCATTTCAACAGCTGGGTTTTATGTCCTTGCACAAATTTTTCTGGTTCTCTCATGGGATTTTCAATGACAGCCTTTGGTCAACAAGTGCAGCATTTTGCCGTGAAACCCACAGGCTCTGATGCAGCTGAACAGCATTGTGGATGAGGTGGACATGCTGTAGGTCTCACTGGAAACGTGCCTCCCCAGTAGTGAGTATGAGGGTCACGGAGCAGGGTGACTCATTCGGGGAGCCGTAGCCCCTTTGTGTGCGACGCTGATGGATGTGACCGTCCTCTCGTGGGTTCTGTTAGCACGTGTGAAGCTTTTAAAACTCTGCCGTGTTTTCCTGAGATCCCCTCGAGTTGTTCACTGCTGCACGCTGTACTTTAGCATTGAAGAGAAAGGTTCCGAAGAAGAGATGTGGCCTCCAAACAGAAAGCCGCGTGGTGGATGGCAGGGGGGCGGATGGATGCCGTTAGCTGGTCTCTCCGTGTCCTGGTGTGGGGGACAGCGATAGACCCTCCGTGTCCTGGTGTGTGGGACAGCGATAGACCCTCCGTGTCCTGGTGTGTGGGACAGCGATAGACCCATCTGTCTCTTGCCGTAATGTCAGCTTCGACAGCTGCCACGGATCACAAAAGCAGAGCAAAGCCTTGCATACGGGGTTAAGCTGGATCTGCCAATACCGGCTCACTACAGAATGAAACAGATCGAGTGTGGACTCTGTATTTCTCCGCAAGCATACTGGACCGTTCAAGTGTTCTCGCGTATCCATTTTAAGTCATCTTTCATTGCCAAAGACCAAAACTCAAGAACAGAGTCACAGAGGACGGTAGAAATCCTCAGATGTCATTCTTGCCCCAAATATCAAGGACACATCGGTTGTATCCTCACCAAACGAGACCAACCCCATGATTTATTGCATCCCAAGTTCATTCTTAGGAGGCAAGTTGGCAAGACCGGTCTTGTGGTCTTGCTAAGACCACAAGTACGGTCTTTGCGTTCTTTGCTTCCTGTGGTGTGGTCACAGCAGCGACCTGGCTCACGTCTCTGCTGTTGTCGGTACACTCTTGCTAACCATTCACGTTATTTTCTGTAAGGTTTAGCCAAACTTCCATTGTGAGTTTCCTGTATCAATTATAGATTAGCCCCTAAATTCCACAGACACACACAGTAATGTCCACGGTGTCTCATTCTCACAGACCATAAAAGCCACGTCGCCCTTGGGTGACCCCCGGGTGACCTACAACCTGGAGGAGGGGCAAGTTCCGGAGACCAACATGCCCGTGCGCTTCTACATCAAGCCCAACCGGGCCGACGGCTCCGCCTCCATCCTGGTGGCCGAGCCTCTGGACTTCGAGGTCACGCGGTTCTTCACGCTGCGGGTCCGGGCGCAGAACGTGGCTGCCGTACCGCTGGCATCATTCACCACTGTCCATGTTAACCTCACAGGTGAGGGGGCTCGCTCGGTTCCTGGAGAAGGACCTTGTGACCTTTGACACCATTAGACTATCTGCTGTGTAAGTCCATTGTCATCCCAGCCAGTCAGATAATCAAATTAACAAAAATTTACATTACACAATCGTGATGGAGATGTTAAACGTCCACATAAGCAGTTCTGAATTTAGTTGGAAGGGGGCCCTGGGTCAACGTTATTGTGGGAGCCCTACCTACAACACAAAATAAGTCAAAATGGGGCTGGAACAACCTCCAGACAAACGTTCACAAACTGCAGGCCCTGGGCTACAGCCCAGATTAACCTGTGCAGACGGCCAGTCTTGCCCGTAACTAGCTCAGCGTAACAGTGATATCCCAGCATCACCATCTGAGAATCATTGACCTGAATTACTGCTCTCACCCACCGAAAGCTGCTCCCCACAGAGGCTGGTAAATCTCCCAGCATCCAACCTGTTTAGATTATGTTAGCGATTATGTTCTGTCTGCAGCAAAGTGATGCTTTTTTCCACTCATATTTCTAATGGTGAGGCTGAGGCACTATTGTTGCACATGAAAGTCACTCTTGTGTGGGGCCAGCGCAGTAAGTGTCGGCTTGGCCGATCGGCGAAGGGCCCTTTCTGCCAGCTGCAGCACTTGACAATGCATTATCATTAATTAAGGGGAAAATGGAAATTGAAATGTAATGAAACAGAAGACAAAGGGCCCTCGAAGCTCATTATAGATGTGGTGTAATCAGCGGTCTGCAGGGAACAAAAGACGCGTCGCTCATTGGTAACGAGGCGCGTGGCATGACCTGAGGGTCTTCATATCCGCCGCCCACCAACGGGCGGCTCACCAGTGCCGCGTCTGACAGGACGCCCATCGTGTCCTGGCCGTCCCGGCTCGCGTTGGTGACCTGCCCTTGTGTGCGTGCGTGTCCGCAGACGTCAACGACAACGTGCCGTTCTTCATGTCGCCCACGTACGAGGCCACTGTCCCCGAGGGGGCCGACATCGGCACGTCGGTGATCCAGGTGTCTGCCGTGGACCTGGACTCGGACCTCCACGGCACGGTGAGGATCTCAGACCTGATTCTGGAAAGAGCCGTGGAATTTCTACGGTGCCCAATTTAGAGTAAAGAGCCAGTACATTATTCTACATTATTCTGAGAGAGAAACCCTGCCTGGACAAATGTGCTATCGGAGTAAGATGGCCGCCCCCCCCGCCTGGCCGAC